GATGCTGCTGACTTCAAGTACTTGGCGTGCCAGCCTCACAGAATGGTAGCAGTGATCTGGACTAGTTCAGAAGTAGTTTATATCCCTATTCTCACACTTCCCTACCCATTTGGGGAAATCACCTTTTCTAAAAATGAATAGACAGGGACCAGCAGTTAGCGTAATGGCTATGTCGCTGGACTCCCACGTAGTTGACCGTGGTTCGCGTCCCGGACCCAGTGGTTAAACTCACGCCGGGCGTGTGTGCGTGTGTGCCCAAGATCCCAAGAGGAGAATGGAGGAGAAGGAATTGCAGCGTGGCCATCCCCCCAGGGGGTGATTTCTCACTTTCTGTCTCTCTGTCTCTCTCTCTGTGTCTGGCGAGCGCACGCGCCCTATAGCAAAAACTTCTAAAAAAAAATGAATAGACAGAGAGTCTAACCTGACATCTGCAAGTAAGCTAGAATAAAACAGAGTAAAGAGGCCTGAGTGACACAGCTTAAAGATAGCAGTAACTCTACTTAGAACATTCTGATACAAAATTGTGTCTCTTTGTCTTAATCTGCTAAATTTTGGGAGGTAACTGGTTCAGATTGCCTGAAATACTCTGGCTTATCCATTACTGAAGCCAGCAACCTTGAGCACTGTAACTAGTCTTTTATTTCATTTTGTTTTGTTTTTGCTTTTGGACATTTTTGGAAAAGAGAGATAGAGATAGGTATTCTCAATAGGGTCTTGCTAAATTGCAGTCTCAGGTACCTGGGACCACAGATGCCTGACCTGTTTAGATTGGACCCGGAACCAAATCTGGACTGCTCATGGAACGTTAGCCATAGTGCAACAATGCTAGACACTGTAACTCTTTAATTGACTTTGACTCAGCACCACCATAGTCTAGCATCAGCCACTTCTTTTTAAAACTGCCTTTCCTCATAAATGGGAAAGTGGACGAGCATGTTTTGGAGACAGCTACTTTCTCCCCACTGTCCATTCTTTCCTTTTATTCCTTTTACTAAGATAAACTCCTAATATTAGCAAGGAGTCTGACTCCCTGGAATAGATAGTACATTTCTCAACGTCTCTTGCAGCTATGCGTGGTCATGTGACTAGGCATGTGTGTAGCAGTGATACCTGTAACCTACGGGTTACTTCCTTAATAGGAAAGAACTTACCACCTTGCACTTCATTTTTCTCCCTCCCTACCTAGAAGCTTAAAGCACTGACTTAGTACTGATGACTACTTTTGACTACACAGACAAGGCAGTATTTTAGAGGATGCTGAAGACACAAGATAAAAGGATCTCTGAGAGATTTTATAGAGTGAAACATCTACCTGCTCTTCCTTTGATTTTTTTTTCTTGCATGAGAGAAAGAGAAACGTCTATCTTGTTTGGATCTCTATTACAGAAATGTAGCCTGTACCCTAATATACAATGTGTTGTCCTCATGCACAGAGTTTTCTGTACGCTTGGGCCCATATCCTACCTTTCACCTTCTGTCAAGTCTCTTGGGTCAGTGCCCTTGAAAATCAAACTCAAGCACAATCATCGTTGTAAAGTTGATTCTGTCTACCCACTCCTTGCCTCTGTCTCTGTCTTCCCAAAGACCCATGAGTTTGCTTTTCTTTCAGTATCTAGCACAGAGGTTTTTTATTATCTGTGGATTTATTTTCCTCCTTTCTAGAGAGTGAATTCTTTGACCATTAGACCCTATTTGAATGGTTTATTTGTCCCACTAGTTTCAGGACTAAATTTGGACGTCATCTACTCTGAAAAGAGTTCTGTGACTTCTTGTCCAGATGGGTTGAGGTGCCCCCTCCACACCTACAGAACCTCAACTTATCACTTCTGCAACAATGATTGCACTTCATTTTAATTGTCCCTTCTATCTTTTATCTTCTACTAGACTGTGAGCTCCTCCATGGCCTCTGAATTCTCTATAGCTAATACTGTACCTGCACTTACCAATTTTGTTAGTGAATGAACTTTCTGACAATTCACATAGCAGACAGAAAAGTATGCACTGTTACCAATCCCTGTCTTATGAATGGACTCATCTCCAAAAGTTCATTTTTAAGGCATTTGTTTGGAACGGTGAGTTCATTAGAGATGGTATGGCTAATTGCAAAGAATCTTGGTCTGCTGATACAAACTCCTGCAGGACTATGAACCAGTCCTTTTTGCTATCTGGGCCACAGTTACCACTTCTGTAGAGTGAAGGCATGGACAGTTGATCTGCAGTGATTCTGCTAGCTCTGAATTTTTGTTTCTTTGATGGCAGCCATAGGCCATCAGTGCCTGAAGTTATGAATAAAGGTTTGTTTTCCACTGTCTCTTAAAATGCAAAGTATCTGAAGAATGTTCCATTAAATCACAAAGGTCTCCATGTATTTGTTTGCATTGATACAATTTTCCCTAGATAGAGTGAGGGAGTAATCTCTGACCCAAGGCCTTTCAGATTGGGCACAATGGAACAAAGGGAACAGTTATCACGGAAAGGCAAAAATGTGGCAGAGGCATCTCTATCGTTCAGGCACCATCAGTCTTAGTTTCCCAGGGAGGCCTGCTTGAGAAAATGCAACAACTAGTGGGACAAAGTTTAATCCACGCAGATTCCCAGGGCTGGCTCAAACAGTGGTTGCCTGGGCATTCCCAAGGATCAGCCCTTGAAGAACTTTGGAGCAAAATCTTCCTCACTCATATATTTCACCTATCAAACTTGGTCCCTCCCAATATTCCCACAGTGGGGAGCCTTTCCAGGCTCTAAGCTAAGGTTGGCAGGTGATCTTGAGATGCTGATTGGGACATTGCTCTGGATGACATCCAACTTGCCAGGTGTCTGGTTGGAGGCAATCACAGCAGCCCTGATGGGGCGAACCCTGTATGTCATTTTTTTTTTTTTGGAGAGGTTTTTGCTATAGGGCACGTGCATTCGCCAGACAGACAGAGAGAGACAGAGAGACAGAAAGTGAGAAATCACCCCCCAAGGGGAATGGCCACGCCACAATCCCTTCTCCTCCATTCTCCTCTTGGGATCTTGGGCACCAACGCACACGCGCCCAGTATGAGTTTAAGCCACCGGATCCAGGACTCGAACTGCGGTCGACTACGTGGGAGTCCAGCGACTTAGCCATTACACTAACTGCTGGTCCTCCTGTATGTCATTTTTGATTCATTGCTAGGAGGACTGATAAACTCTGAGAGAAGACTGCTGTATTTGCATTTAGGGTGATTCGCTTATCAAAGGACAATGATTACACCTTCTTCATATGTTTCTGTTAGTACTCATGATCCTAAGTGTCCATCTTTTGGCTGCAGTGTTAGCAAAGGAAGGGGCTAATTCTGTGGGGCTAATATGATGACATGAACATTGAGTGCACATAGGTGCCATGTTTGTAATTCCAGTTCCAAACAGAAAGAATACTGGGGCCTGCTTTGTTCCCACTGCTTTTCCAATCAGCACCACCTGCTTTCTCTTTTTCTGCTGATGCCCCTGAATTTCCTTTGCTCATCTTCATTTAGTGCATAGGAAGAAAAGAGGCAAAGGGCTGAGCATGTTTGTGGAGAGGTTCTGAAGGAACTGAGGCATGTGCAGCACTGTTTTGTAGGCCAAGTGAGTCTTTGAAGGGGAGTGGGGAGGGGGCTGCAGAAAAGCCACATGAAAGCCTCTTGGTGGGTAGTACAGAGGCTGGGTTGCCTGGAAGGAATTCCTGGATCCTAGCGTTTCTCCATCTTTATTCATGTAATTAGCTGGATTACCTTGGCCTTTTGGGACTCAGAGAACATGACCTAATGAAAATACTTTTGGAATGTAATACACATTTGGTTACATGACTCTATTTGAGAGCAAAGTAAAAGCTTCCCCACCAGAACATATCCCAGCCGCCTGGGCAACCAAACCTCATCCTACTCAGGATGTGCTAATGCCTGCATGTCTGTATTTACAAATGAATGCTTGTTTAGCACTGACCTGCTCCAAACTCCACTTTTAAAAATGTATCCATGCACTATGGTGGAGATTGAAGTACTCCATGGCATAGAAGTGGAGAGGGTAATGGTAGATGCCAGGTGCCATGTGGGTAGGTCTGGAGAAAATGTTTAATGGACACAAAAGTGCATGTAAACAAGCAGAACGAGATATGGAACGGTGTGCCTCTTGAAGGATTGCTCCGTAACGTGCCTAGGATCTCAATGCAAAAGGTCTTTCCAGACTTTTGCCTGTTACAGGCTCCCAGGGGATGCCTGAATCTGGGAACAGTACCGAAACCTATGTATATTATGTTGTTTATTTTTATCTGATTGAGATGGCTACAAAATGACTGTATATATAGCATGGATATACTAGACAAAGGGATGATTCATGTCAGGGGCAGAATTGAGTGATACAGTACAAGGTTTCATCATGCTGCTCAGAACAGCATGTAATTTAAAACTTACAAATTGTTTATTTCCACATTTTTCCATTTAATATTTTCAGACTGCAGTCGATCTCTGGTAAGTGAATCAGGAAAGTGAAACTGTGGATGAGGTGAGGGAACTATAGTACTACCCAAAAAAGCAAGACCCCTGGCTCCCTGCCCTCCCTCTACCTCTCCCCTCACTTGCCTCATCTCACTTTCAATTTTTTAGCTGTTCCTTATGACATTTATTTCCATATTGCTGAGTAACATGCATGCATTGTTGTCTTTTGATTCAAAATTTAAAGTTAGCATCATTAGGATTACACAAATATTTTCACTGCTGAGGAAAAGGTATATTCTTATCACATTTCCTCTCTTGTGCAATTTCTGCTTTTGCAGAAGTCAATGATTATCTTATTCATTTTGTCTTTGCATAGCTTTTTTGTGATCAACTCTTCCTAAACCTTCTAACAATCTCAGCAAATGTCTCCATACAATTGCCCATGTGTTCACATAAGTAAAGCTTTTAGATTCTTTCTCAGTTTTGTCGTTCTTTTGTTTTGTTCATTTCCCCACTAGGAATGTCCTCCCTTGGACCCTCTGGCCTGATCCAATCTGAACAGTTTGCTTTCTGAGATGGCTGCATAGCTTTCATCTTGTGAATTCCTGTCACAAGGTAAGCATTGCATTTTATTGTAGGACCCGTGTTTTGTGAATCTTATTTCCTTGTTTACATCCTTGTTTTGTTTCAGCATCACCTCTTGAGTAAAGATGCATGGTAGGTAACACTTTTGAGACTTTGCCTATCTGAAAATGTTTTCACCTTATCTTTTGAAATGATTGGTAACTTAGCTACAGACAGAATTCTTGGTTTCAAATAAGCATTTGTTCAGAATTGTGAAGGCATTACTCTGTTTTATTTTAATCTTCAATTTTACTGTTGAGAAGTCTATTACTTTGTATATCATTTATTTTCCTTTTTTTCTCAGGAAAATTTCAGGTTATTCTCTTTCTCTCTAGTGTACTATAACCTAATGAGTGCTCTCCTGATAAGGGTTAGGTGGGCCACTTAAATCTAGAAACTATTGTCTTTGGAGCTGGAAATTAACTCATTGGGTCATTTCCCCCCATCATTTTCTATTTTCTTTCTGGAACTTCTGATTAGTTTGATGATTGATCATTTGAGTTGTTCTAATTTTCTCATTTTTATTCTTGTATTGTTCATCAGAAACTAAATTCTACAAGGACAGAGATTTTTGTTGGTTTGTTATTGTTAATGATGTACATATTCCAAGGGTTTAGAACTATATCTGTCATGTAGTAAGCACTCAAGTAGAAAATCTACTTTCTGTGTCATTTCTTTGTCTTTCTCCTCAAACTTTTACTGAATTATGTTTTGCTATGATTTTTAATTCTCAGGTACTTTTGTTTGTTCTTCGATTATTCTTTCATGTAATCATGTTTTAGCGATGCATGGGCTAAATTTTGTGTCTTATGACAACATCCATTATCTCACAGTTCTGTAGGTTAGAAGTCTGGGTACAGTATGGCTTTTTTGGGTCCTATGTTTTAAATTTCACAAGATCAAAGCCAAGGTGTCAGCAGCTGTATTCCCTTTTGGGGCTCTGGGAAGAATGTACTTCCAAGCTCATTCATTGTTTACCAACTCCAGTTCCTTGCCATTGTAAAACTGAGCTCCCCCCCTCTCCCCCCATTTCCTTGCTGACAGTCAGTCAAAGGCCAGTCTTTTTTCCTAGAGGCCATCCTTGTTCCTTTCCAGGGTATTCATGTCACCTCCTTACAGTAACAGTAGGTTAGCTCCCCTCACATTTTAAATCTCTCTGACTTCATCCAGAGAAAATTCTCTGCTTTTAAGGGCTCTTGTTATTAAATTGGGCCCAACCAGATAATCCAGGATAAGTTTTCCTATCTTGAGGTTCATAACCTTAATTATATCTGCATATTTCCTTTTTCTGTGATGTATAATATATTCATAGATTCCAGGGATTAGGACCCTGATATCTTTGAGGGCCATTTTGTCTTCATCAAATAAATACATTCAGGAAAAATGAGAGTGTGTTTAAGACAAAGCCTACGAAGGTGAGAAAACACTGATTTCAGGGAAACATAGGCAGTTCAATATAATTGGCAACCATGCATGAATGTTAACTTGGAGCAGAAGGCAGGACCCTCACTATTCCAGTTCTCTCATTCTCCTTCATCTCTTTTTCCCCCTTAGTTTCTTTGGGGGTATGCTGTTCCTGAATGTTTGATCTCAACACTCTCAAATGTCAGTTGAAACTATCTGTTCTTCCCCATCTGAATTCATTCTGGTTGATCCCAGCCTCCATCATAACCTGATTTCGTGCCAGTCTTCAGCCTCCTTCCCTTCACAGTCATCTCACTGCTCTTTGTATTGGCAAGGAAGAATCTTTGCAGCTGGTGCATTTTCCATCTGGATGGCCATATGTGATCACATAAATCCTAGTCTAATGTCCCCACCACACTGTTTTTATCATGTCACTATGCTGCTCAATGAATCCTGATGGTTCCTCTTTTCTCCTGGAAAGCAAATCTAATTCTTTTTTTAAAAGAATTACTTTATTTAACTTTATTTATTTATTTAATTTGACCAGAGAGGGACAGAAAGAAAGAAAGAGAGAAAGAGAAAGTGAAAGCAAGAAAGATAGCTGCCAAGTCTGGGATTTAAACCCCAGTGGGTCATGTGGGAGTCCAGTGCCCTTAACTACCATGCTACCTGCCAGCCCCACAAACCAACTTCTTAAGCTCGCCTTCCCAAGCTAGCTTGAGTCTACCCAGCAATGCTAATCTTCTCACACACTGTATCCTAGGCAGCCTGACTTCTTTGCCTTCTGCTCACCATTCTGTCTCAGGTCTTTGCTCTTTTTATTCCCTTGTTTCAGTCAAAATAGCTAATTCCCTCTCCTTTCTGTGCATACAAACTTTGCCTAGCCTTTGGGTCATAACACAAATCATACATCTTTCATGAAGCTTTCCCCCAGACTGAAGCTCACCACTAACCCTTTATTCCTCTTCCTAACTTCCCGTAGCTTTTTTTAAAATTATTTTTTATTTTTGGAGAATTTTTTGCTATAGGGCGTGTACACTCGCTAGAAAGACAGAAAGAGACAGAGACATGAACTGAGAAATCACCCCCCAGAAGGGATGGCCATGCCGCAATCCCTTCTTCTCCATCCTCCTCTTGGGATCTTGGGCATGCATACAAACGCACCCAGTGTCAGTTTAAGCCACCGAGTCTAGGACTCAAACAGTGGTCTACTACATAGGGGTCCAGCGACATAGCCATTACACAAACTGCTGTTCCCACTTCCCATAGCTTTTGATGTTCATCTGTACCATACAGCTTTACCCTAAGTTTTTGTACATCTTGTTCCTCATTATAGGCTTTGACTTTAATAACACCATGTGTGGAAGTCTCATCTTTTGAACTGTACTATAAATGACATGAGGACTGATCTCATGTGTCAATAGATTGGGAGTAGGAGTTTTGTTTTCCATCTTTTATCCAAATGTCAAACATTTTATTTACAAGTTAGAGAAATGTGAAAATGCACATGTATTTCTGTTCTACCTACAAATCAAATAGTCATCTACACTGAAACTCAAGGGGAGTTTTCCTATAAAACATTTTTTTTGGACAGTATTATGAGTTCTGTCTCCCTGGCATCAGAAATTTTTACCAAGTTTACCTTTATATTTATATTTTTCCATGCCAATGAATGGATGTACTTATACTAGCTTTCTCCACAGCCCAGTGTTTTGTCACTTGGCCAAACACACGGATGATTTACTGGCAGTGATGTTGTTTAATCTAGTTCTTGCATAGTTTTCACCAGGCAATGATAGGAGGAGAAAAGTACCCTTTGAAGAATCTGCCAAACTTTGCCCTAAGACATTCTGTGAATAAGGTACTAGATTTATTGCAAAACTCATTCCAGGAAACAAAAGTATCTAGTAAATTCTGTTCCAAATCACGTAGTCCATAAGGTTCTAACTAGAGGGCTTGGGGACTCAAAAACCCAAATCTTTCTTTGAGTCTAAGGAGAAAACTATTACTGGAGGTACTGACAGTTGATAAGTTTGAGACATATGGTCCTATTCTCTTTCTCCAAAATGAGAATGGTAGTTTTAGCAGTAAATTGATAGTGTAAGTAAATCTAGCACTTGAAAGAATTTAATTAAATTTCCCCCATCTTCAGTGTAAATACCAGAGAATCTATCCTTCTGGTAAGGAGAGGTAATGGAATTCCCCCGTGGCAAATGGCTATTGC